TTGATTAAAAAAAATTTTTTTTCTGTTACTTTATAGAAGACTGTGAATTATGATTTTTAGAAAAAAAAAATCTTAACTAATTACTTAAACAATAGAAAATTAAAAAAACGATTATAAACCATTAAAAATTGTTATTAAGGAAAAAAATTTTTTTTAAATCATAAAATTTTTAATGTAATAAAGTTGTGTTAAATTTGTTTTAAATATTGATTTAATCAATTTGTTTAAAAAAAATTTATCAACAAATGGCGTGAATTTTTTTTTTTGCAAATCAATAAATATCTTGTATTAATAAAAAAACGATTATATGATGATTTAGAAAAAAAAATTTTTTATAAACAAAGTAAAAAAATTGTTATAAACAAAGTATAAATATTTTTTTAACTTTTATGGCACGATCTTGTTAAGTATGTATGTAAGAAAGGCTCTACGAAGCGAAATATTTTTACGACCATTATTTAAACATTTTTTTTCACTTACAATTAAGACGGTCGTTCGAGAAAATTTCGTTAGTTAACAATTATTTAACTTGTTGAAAAATTAACTTTAAGTAAAATTTTCAACGGGAATAAATTAATTATAGTGTTCAGAACACACCATAATTTTTTCAAATTAAAAAAAAATATTCAATACCTTAAATAAATTAATTAATGTGCCGTAGTCGCTTTTGACGCCACGCGCGAATCCTAAAAATGTCACCCGCAGACCTATTTTCAGCGTTAAATTAAAATTATAAATAATGGAGATAGAGTTCCGGGAGTTAGGAGTTTTTTTTTTGGAAATTTCCTCCTCTTTCAGAATCTTTATTTGAAATTTCTTAAATATTAATAGTTTATTAAATATTGGCAAAAAACTAAACGCCATTTTTTTTTCGCACATAATTTTAAGAGCAGTATCTCTATTTTGTTCCATTTTCAACTTGTCGACTAGACTATCTAAGACATGTCGGTTTCCTTACGATGTTTTCCTTCACTGTTCGAGCAAATGTTAAATGCGCCATAGAAAGAAAGTCCAGTGGTGCACAGCCGGCGATCGAACCAACGACCTCAGGTATGTGAGTCGAGAAGCCACTAGGCTAATGTATAATTCGTGATCAAAAGCTAGTGAAATAATTTAATAAATAATTTTAAATTTAGTTCATAATTTGCTTAACTTATCAAGTCGCTAACACATAAACATAATGAAGATACTTAACTGTCCAAAATTCATTAAATCATTGGACACATAGTTTATTGATAAATCTAATATTTTAATTTTACTATCTAAGGTCACGCATTCAAAGATAAACTAGCAAAAACTTCAACTATTCATAAATCTTATAAGAGGAATTATAACTATGCGTGACCTCTATTAACATGTTTAAATTTTTCATATTAAAAAACGTTACCATTTCCCAAAATTCTTATTACATACAAGAATTTTCCTATACCTAACGAATAAATAGAAATTATGAAGGCATTTCAAACAAAAAATGTATTAAAACTTGAAGGATAATCTGCCATAAATTATCTACTGCGTGCATTGAACAAAACATTCGGCTACGCGGGGGCGGAACGAAGCGCGGGGCGGGGGCTAGTGCGCAAATACGCGATGCCTGCATACAATGACTGCCAAAGATCGCATCCAGGGGACCTCGAAAACGCGGCACGTGTAAGCGCAGACACGAATCCAAACAGCACTTATATAAAATGCACTTCCCTGCAACAAAACCTTCCTAACACCACAAAACCAACACTTACTTCTTCTTTTCTAAACTAGTAATAAACCTAATTAACTCAACTAGCATTTCCACGCAATAAACCATAAATTATCCCATTGAGTGCGCTGATATTAACACAATAGGCGAGCGCGTAAAAAAGTAATTGGAATTATTCGAATTCGTCCCTGTAATCGCATTGTACGATAACGTCATTCACGCACACACGCGCGCGATTGCCGAAATTCGTGGATGTATTTTTCTAGTCGACGCGTCTGTGTGCGTCCGCAGCGGCGATGCGGATCGCGACAGATATATCGAAGGTTAAGTGGTGCGAGTGAGATGTAAGTAACATTATATAACGCATTATTTTTATAATTAACAAGCAAAAATTGGCTATTCGACCCTGGAAGCGGACAGCGACCTTAGCGCACGAAATTTGCACAGATCAAATGTGGGCGACCTCGAACGGATAGTTGCACGAGGCGAACGCACACTCATGCAAGCGGGAAAATTCTCGACTTCCGTCAAACATACCACACCTAGAACATGCAGTGTTTATGGTTGGCTCTTTGTTATCTGAGAAAGTTTATCAAAACAAGCTTTACAAAGAGCGATATAAAGATCGTTTAAATTTAAGGCATGAATACATTCATTAAATAGTCGTTACAATAACAAAATAATGGACAAATAATTCCCTTATTAAAAAAATAGTCAAATTGTGTTTACGCTGTGTGGTGAAAACTTTAAAAGGACTTTAGTTTCTGCATTTAAGCTGCAAACGGCAAACGGGCTGGACGCTCACAGCTGGCAGCTGGTTCCACATAGTGCTGGTGCGCGGCAAGAACTGCCTTAACAAACGCTCAGTTTTGAAACGACGGACGTCGAGGTAATACAGATGGTATTTTGGATTCTGCCTCGACGTCCGAGGATGAAACTCAGCTGCTGTTACTCCGAACAAAACAAAGCGTATTTAAAATGTTTTGGAAATAAATCTATTAAGTAGTTACAAATATACAAAACTGTAATAGATATGAAAGTATCGTAACAAAAGTATAGCAAAGGAATCTATTATGACATCACAGCCCCGACCTTGAACGATGTTCTGTTTACTTCATACATCATTTTGTATAGATTTATGGCAACATATTTCGAGATTTTTTCACTTTTCAACTTCACTTTTAATCATGAGGTTGAAATTCTGGTTAGACAAACGTTTTGTTGCTAAGAAAATTTTATTAAAGATATCAAAATATTTTATTCCAATACGAATTCTCAAATAAAAACCTTTATCGGCAAGTACATAATGTTTCTGGAGCTGCAATCATTACATGCTCCTCAAGGTGCATGGTCATTCTTGGTAGTCCAGGTATCTTGTAGTCTGTGGATCCGCTGCCCTTTATACATCGCATCGCTTGCTGCAGGAAGGCACCAGCTGCATAAAGCTCTAGGCGTGATGGAGGCGACGAGATAGTGGTGTACCCGTACCTCGGATTTGTGTCAGTCCTGCTCTAACTCAAAATAACTTTATTCATAGGGGTAACAATATGAACGTCGACAGAAAAGATGTTAAATTGATTCTACATTTACAATCATTTCGCAAGTCAAGGGCGTAGAGGGGGCTAGAAGAACTGGCAAGAAAATCTCCACCACTCTTTTAATTTGCCAAGTTTTGAGTCATACAAATTGTTTGAACTGGAGCAAATCAATCCCAAATATTAGGATTATTTAAATAATAATAAATTTATAAAAAGCTATACTGTTTAATTAACGTTTAACGAGAGTTTTGAATTTCTCGTTTGTGATATATGTGCATACGAATTATGAAATAGTGACTGCATTAGCGCGTCTCAATACATTTGGCCGTTGTGACTGTTTTGGTCTGGAAAACAATTTGTTTCTGACAGTTCAACCAGAGACTGTAGAATAATCACAGAATATACCATCTATAAAATGGTGCATCTATAAAAATCTAGTCAATTTTACAAATTTATTACTTTACTGCGTTTATTGTGCAAACTGTACCTTATTTATGAACATTAAATCAGTCTAATTGCCTATCTATTTTCAACACTGCGTAATCATAATTTGCCAGAAAAAAATACCTATTTTTATTTATTATTAGTACATATCAAAGGATACAACAGAAACGTGACGGTGGAACACAAATTGGTTACAAATTTTCTGTCTCGAAAATATTAGGAATAAAGTTATGTAGTCCATACAGTTTTTATGAGAAAAGAGGTTAGAGTCTGGCTAATGAAAGTTGATACTGAAAAAGCGCGGCAAATTTAAAAAAATATCAGCATGGTAGCCCTAAAGTAAAAAGGAAAGTTGGAACAACTCACTTTGATACTTTGACATGCAATTTTTAGGCTTATAGGTTTTGTGGACATAAGTTTCATAAGTAGATTATTGGCTTGCCTTCTGCACGTTTCGATGCAATAGTACGCAAAAAGCGATGTCTCCATGCAGCTATATCATATCGTTCAATAATTAATGAACGTTCATTTTTGTTTTCTTAAATTCATAACCGTTGGCTAATAATCTCAAGACTATCTGTAAAAGAACAATAACATTATCTAAAGTAACTAAAACTAATATGTACTTATTTAAAATAAAAAAATATCAAGACATTTTGACCGTACTAACTTTAGTGTTGTCATATAAAAAGTTTGCAAAAAAATCCAGTATCTACTTTCGTTAGCTAGACTCTAGTTGCAAAACTGTTACTAAGGCGTAACTTTAACAATTTCTCGAAAGCATTGTGTTCATAGAATACTAGAACTAATTGTAATTTTGTATACGTTCTGTCAATCGCAACCGCTTTTACGGACACGCTACCCGCATATTAAAAATAGATCCATCCGCATAGAGCCTATACAACTAATACTAAATTATTAAATACAAAGGTTTCAAATAACAGAACCGACTTCAAAATTCACTTACAAGTCTTGTACGAAGAGATTTCAATGGAAAAGGATAATGAATACACGGTATATAAAGATCAAATGTTTATAATAATAATAATTTATTGCAAGAACATGGTACAAAAATGTGTAGGTGGTACAATCGTAAGTTCGCATATTCTGCCACACACAATGGCGTCCAAATTTGTCTTAAGGAATTTTACATTTTACATTATTAGTCAAAGTCAATTCTTATATTATTTGTATCGTACATATCATACTTTATTAAATTTATATCAACTACAGTGTCTCACGCAAATAATCATTTAATGTCATATTAGGCTGTTGTGGTCCTTGGAAGAACTAAAGTCACTGACATTGCAAACAGGGCGTATATGCACTTAAATAGCAATGGCACATTGCCTGAAGAATGGATAGCCAATGGGCAAACAAGTCTTGGAATGGTTGCAGAGAACCGTTGCGAAGCTTTGAATGACCTCACACTAGGTGGACATATGACCTGGTGACGGTGGAAGGAAGAAACGCGCGGGGAACGAGCCACACTGGAACTTTAGGGGAAGCATTTCCAGCAGTGGACGTCAACAGGTTGTTGGGCTAGGCTACTGAGTTGAGTTCATTATTGAGTTCATCGACGACGTTGGCACCTTGAGAGCATAGGCCAATATCGGGCGGTGAAGGAGGCTTACCTCACCGACCTAGTGGTAGGAAGCATTTGCGAACCGATTGCAACGCAAATGAAGGTCTGAGTGTCGGTGACGTGAATCGACGTGAACGCACGTCCTTCGCACCGGATAGGCAACTCGGGAGTTGGGCTTGCAGTACCGGGGCACGGATTAAGGGAAACTGCCTGTCTACCGTCCAAACAGATACCGTCTACGAGCAGATGGGGCTGGGGATGGGGGATGTTTTAGTGGGTAGGTGACCATTGCACCTCACGGACCGACCCCCAAACTCCCGCGTCACTTAAAAAAGGCCTTGGCGCGGTAAATGATTTCCCAAGTATATAAGAAAAAAAGATTATGTTAACTGACTGAACGAAGATTATTGTAAAAGATCGCATTTTTTTCCAAAATACACGAAATTCACGATGTGGTACCTAGTGTGTTATGTGGTGGTACTTCTCCGAAAGAGAACTGATAGCGGTCACTTAATGATTTTCACCTATTAGTAGACAATACGGCTTGAAGTATATTTATATACCGCAAGATTAGGATACTCCAATCCCCTATAGATTTCATTTCTATTGGTTTTTGTAGTATCAGCTACTTAATGAATATATAAGTTATAGGGACTATATATATACTAGGGACGCCTTGTTGCCAACACGCGTATGAATTCGCGCGAAACGATTCGATTGCCCTTTCTGGACAAGCTTGCTTTCTGCCAAGAGAAGCCCCATTTTGCGCACCCTAAACGCTAATGCTTGTGAGACGGATATGTTTAGTTGCACACTGGCTGAATTCACAAGAATTGCATTATTTATAATTAGTTATAAAACGGTTTAGGTTCTAAGAGTTTACTTGTTTTGTTTATATTATGTTTTTAATTTAGTTTTCTACTGTATTAGTATTAAGTTACTGTAAAAATAGGAAATAAGGAAAATATTTTAAATTTATACCTTCTTGAGGGCTATTTTTGGAAGCCGTCTTTCAATGACGCAGAACGAAAGTCATAGTACCTTTATTCGTTTACCCCCGTTAAATATTAAGTAGGAATCAGCCATCTTACATATATTTAAGATGTTATATGATCTACTTGCAGTACATAATGGCCGCACATGAGAAGTACAAAAACTCATTTGCGTCGTAATGAATGAAGCTAAACATTCGTCCAAAACGATATATGAACTTGGAATTTGTCCGTGAACCTTCCACCTCCGAAGTAGATGACGAACTAGCTAGAGCACGTGTGTTGCTCATGGATAGTTAAGGTCCAAAATCATATAAGTACCAAAATCTGGGGAAGGTGAACAGTACTTTCAACTAGTATCTTCTAAAAGGAGGATACTAGACAAGTCTAAACACTAAAGGCCACAGTGGCTGAGACCGTTTTAGTGTGTGACGTCATCGCAGTGATTGTTATCTCGGATTGTATGTGTCGCTACATATCCAAGAGAATCTCCATCGATAGAAGACTGAAGATGGAGTGCCTTAAGTATATTCAATACCATACCATCACACATATTAATGAAAATTTAAATTATTTTAATGCAAAATAGCTAGCGATTTTCACGCATAGAAGATACAAATTTTATACAGACATTCTGCCGTAACTATCTACAGCTAGGACTAACCTTCTAAACCAGGCACATATTCACATGCATAAGTCAACGAATTACATAGGTTAACGGACATTTTTTATTGTCCATTGAGTTGACAAAAGTTCTACTATTTGTTAGTTTCTTATGTTTGTTATTTCGGATGTGAATTTTAAATTGAATTCTTTTTATTTTCTCTCTTTTCAGTTGGTAGCTCATGGCTGAGCATTGTGGTCTGCAAGGAAACATCTGCAGAGGACAATCTGTTCCACTGGTTTCTCGTGTATAGTTTTGAGGTCGATGAGTCTTTCAATTGATCTGTTCGTCTGGATGGTTCGTGATGTTTTGCCTTCTGTGTTACCAACCACGATAAGTTTCTGCATGTTATCATCGCCTCCTCTTGATTTAGGATAAATAAATATAAAAAAGACGAAAGCCGTTCCCTGGCTTATTTTATACGCAATATTCTTTTATTTTTATTATTATGTCGAGGCAAACGGGCAAGGAGGCTCACCTGTTAAGTGATACCATCGCCTGCGACACTCACATTGCCAAAAATATCGCAAGTGCGTTGCCAGCCTTTTTAGAATTGTTACGCTCTTTTCTGGAAGGACCCTAAGTCTTATTGGTTCGGAAATACTTCAGTGGTTGGTGGTGCCCGGCAAAAATTACCTTAAGAAACGCTCAGTTAACAATTCATATCTACCACAGGCACTCTAGCGCAATATACTCTAGGAGCTGACGTCATTATAACCGACCAATTGCATAATATTAACAACACTTCCTATTCAACACCCACTTAAACTGATATCTTAAACTTTAATTAAAAATACAACTACCTATGTATTGTTTACGGTTTCTAGCAATAAACGTACCTTTATTCTTGATTGACTCTACGCAAGAAGTGCACAACGAGCAGGCACAGATGCACTCTCTATGAGGCGAAAGACTTTAGCTTTTTAGTCCGTCAAGAGGCTGATCATTCACGTAATGTGTGATTTATGTAAATTTTGTTATTATCGCAAGTGCATACATACTAATTTCAAATCAACTATATTAACAATGTACCTTTACGAACATCAGTATTATATTTACATTCGTCCGTCTAGTTAATACTACTATTATTATATTCAAAGAATTCATACGAATGAATACAGAAATTAATATTGTATTGAAACTGTACGGAGAACATGTATTGTTTTTTATGCCGTAATAACAAAGCTTTGGCTGTCAATGTCAAAAAGATGGTGTTGCATAACAAACGTGATATTGACGGTCATGGTTTTAAAGGTCAGGTTTATGGATGAAATAATGGATATCGCTTACTGTATCAGACTACTTATTCTGGCCACCGTTCTGTTATGACGTACTATCGTTGCTTACGATAGTACTAACGATAGATCGTCTTGTGATCTTGTAACTAAGCTTGCTAATCTATTTGATATACACTCTTCTCTCGTACTATGTGTATAAGTAGTACCTCCTTTAGGCAAACCTACAGAAGAATAGTTTGTGAGCCACGGGGTGACACCTCTTGACGTAATCTGACTCTTTTCTTATATACGAATTTTTAATACCTAAATTGTGCCACGGGAAGTATTTGTTAGTTCTTTAAAAAATTAAGACCTTAAAACATTTTCTGTTTCTAATTTTTATATTGTATCCCATGCGGAGGGCCTCAAAACAAATCATCAGCTCCATAAAACTCTTCATTTAGAAGATATTTGTAATTTTTTTTTTTTTTAGAGAAAAAATTAAAATATAAAATAAATTACAAAAAATAATTATAATGATCTTTATTTATATTATTAAAAACCTTTTTACAATTTAAACACGAGTTCATAACCGGAGTAGCTGTGATTAACATTAATCTGACATATAAACGATAGAGTACACGTTCACCAGAATAGGACCATTCGCTAAGCCCTTCCAAATAACGAGGAAGTAATGACAGCACGTTTTATCTTTTATGAATTTTGATAACGCATGCTCAAGGAAGTGATTACGTTTGTATAAAAAATATATTTCTTGGCTGATATTTACTAAATATTTCGATTAGCATAGTCTAAATATTCCACAATAAACAGGAAACTTACTGAACAAAATTCAACGAACGATTCTGTCAGTGTCTCCCCAGGGGGGTGTCTGCCTAACAGTCTAACTTAGATTATAATGTTTCGTAACTATAAAACGTCCTTCTTAATCTGTAAGTAAAAGTTTGTGATAAACTTTTCAGAGTCCAATTCGGAATATATTTTAAAACATGTGTTCTTTTTCTGCCTTGCGATTCTGTAACTCATTTTTCAAACTCGCACAGCGGTTTTCGCAGCGGCGGTCGCGCTCAAATCAGTCGTGAAGCAGTCATTTTACGATATGGCATTCTAATAAACAATAAACTACAAGCTCCCGCCTTATTATCGAAAAGTGAGTTACAGAATCGCAAGGCTGATCGTAGATACGAGGCTATCCTAGCTTTGTACCCAAGTCAAATTATCAAACATACATAAATATCATCTCTCTCTCTCTCTCTTAGGATATCATCATCTTAGACGACTCATTGGTCTAGTGGATAGTACCCCTGACTGCGAATCCATGGGTCCCGGGTTCGATCCCCGGCTGAGACGAACATCGATGTGATGAGCATTTGGTGTTGTGCTTAGGTCTTGGGTGTTTAAATATGTATTTATATGTCTATCTATCTATAATATGTATGTATATCCGTTGCCTAGTACCCATAACACAAGCTTCACCAGCTTAGCATGGGACTAGGTCATTTGGTGTGAATTGTCTTTAAAAAAAAAATTAAAAAAAAAAATCAAAAATTAACATCCTTTCGCATCCAGCTGTGGGAATGTAGACCTCCTTCCAATAAAGGCCATTTATTAAATGTATTATTCATTAAATGATTATTTGCGAGAAACACTGTAGTTGATATAAATTTAATAACGTATGATATGATATGTACGATACAAATAATATAAGCATTGCTCAATTCATATGACTAATAATGTAAAATGTAAAATTCCTTAAGACAAATTTGCACGCCATTTTGTGTGGCAGAATATGCGGACTTATGGACTTATGATTGTACCACCTTACACATTTCTTGCAATCAATTATTATTATTATTATTTACCAAATGAAAGACGTCTCCAGTTTTGTTTCTAAGATGCCGGTTCTCGATTTTTACATAGCAATAAAACAATTTATGAGAAGGGTTTATCTGTTACTCTGACACTAAACTGGTGCGCTATTCATCACGCAAGCACAATGCTTTATCACCAAATGTGATAAGCCAGAAAGTAATAATTTTTACATCATCACCACGAGTCATTTTGTGTAGTTGACTCCAATAAGATAACATAACAAAATATTTTTTAACCGACTCCAAAAACTCCTAGGAGGTTATCAATTCGACGTGTTCTTCCGTGTGATTAGCAATATCCGTACCCATGATCAGGCGCAGAAGGCAGCCTATTAAAATCGATCGAAACCAACGAAATACTTCTTTTTAAGAAGTATTTCTAGTATACTTATTTAATCAGATGAGCGTATCATCTGATTTTAATTGATAATTGATATGATAATTGATTGCTTTTTAAGTATTTCCTAACAAAAGTAGTAATATTAAACAGATCACAAGTATGTCTTTATTAAATTTTGTTTATTGTATTGAAGTTCGGAATTCCCGTAACATTCTAAAATTATTATCGGTTCTTCAGGCTATAATCAATAGGCTTCTAATTTGAACCGAACCGTTACTATGGCAACGATCCCAGAAACTTGTTTACGACTCCGCTGTGGTTTACTTAGGAGAGAAGCAATTTCGGTAAGTACTATAAAGGTGCCTTGATTTTTACTTAATAATAATAATAGTAATATTTCCATTTAAATCCGTACGAGCTCTAAATTTCACCAACATCATCTTGATGGTTGGAGGTCTTCCACAGTCCGTTTCACGAGGCATTTTCTTTTGCGAACTAGCGAACTGTGGAATCGACTCCCGGTGGGGGTATCTCCCTCAGAGATACGACCTCCAAATGTTTAAAAATCGAGTGTACCCCTCAAAGGCCGGCAACGCACCCACTAAAAGTGGGTGTCTATGGGCTGCGAAAACTGCCCTTTGTGGTCGTCCCCCTATTATATAAAAATCCTCTTCTAGTGTATCTGTGTGCACTTTTTTTGCAAAGGGCTCCTCTAAATCTCGCCATTCCTCTCTGCTCTGTGCCACTCTCTGCCATGTACCACCTGCTGTTTCTTTAATGTGGTCCATCCACCTTTTGAGTTGTCTACCTCTTTTTCTTTTGCTGTACCTTGGGTTTGGGTACTAGTTTAGTAGTTTTTTGCTCCACTTTTCTGTTCCTTTTTTTTCCACTTTAGTTTATTTATTTATTATATACTTAGTATGGAAAATTCGGCAAAATATAAAAACATTTCACAGGAGGATGGGACAATTATTGAAAAATGCGTTTCCTGTTAATGAAATAATTTAAATAAGTAACTGCTTAATTTGTGTATATTAAAATTGAAGAATTCTTGAAGAAAATAATCTTGATTTTAGATGGCTGTAAATCATCTAATATATAAAATTCTCGTGACACAGTTTTCGTTGCCATACTCCTCCAAAACGGCTCGACCGATTCTCATGAAATTTTGTGTGCATATTGGGTATGTCTGAGAATCGGACAACATCTATTTTTCATCCCCCTAAATGTTAAGGGTAGTCCACCCCTAAATATTTTTATTTTATTTTTAGATATTTTTTTCTGTTTTTATTTTTTTATGATACAGCATTAAAAAATACATACAAACCCCTAACTTTCACCCCTCTACCATCAACATTTATTTTTTATTATAAATGATATATATGGCAAAACGACGTTTGCCCGGTCAGCTAGTAACTTTATAGATGGCAAATAGATGATCAGCCTAATGGACACCGTCGATTTGTTGGGTCTAAGGCATGCCGGTTTCCTCACAACTTTTTCTTTCATCAGAAACTCACGACTCATGGTTTGAGTTGCACGCTGAAGCCACTAGGCCAACACTGCTCACAAAACAAAAAATAACCTTTTCTTAAATTGGATACAGCATCGCCACGCGCTTCTATACAAATATTAAGCATGTTTTTTCTTTTAAGTTTTACGATGTTCTATTGTGGATAGAACAATAATGCATTAGTTCCGCTCTATTTGAGTATCTTGTTCGAGAAAATGTTTAATTATCGTGAGGAAAATTGATAAATTTAATTCAAGGTTCTTTCTTTATAACGAATAGAACAATTGATTTCAGATTTCACACAAATCTTCAAACTGAC